CCATCACCCAAGTCTCAACCAGCACTGTCTGGACCACATGGCTCAACCTGTACTCTATATGGGCGTTTTTCCTGTATGACCTCTTTAGAATCCTTGGGATCTCTTCTGTATGGACAGAATCCAATCCAGTTCTCAGGTCATTACCAGTATTCCATCAAGTCATCACCAAGCATGTCTGTTAGATCATCCTTGTTATGAATCACCTCTCCTCTGCATTTCCTGTCAAGCACTCACTACTCCATGCTGTTGATGACACTGCCATCTGTGCCTTACAGGCATCCAAAGGCACATTCGTTTAAATGGTTGCAGTACAATGATCCTTCAGTGCAAAAAAATAATGCATGTAATTTATTTCTGTTAAATACTGACACATCACTACCACCTTGGTTTCTGTCTCAAATGTCAATGAATGTCTTCCCTTTGCTGAGTCCTTTTAATATTATGAAATAAACTTGATAGTCTACTCACGCACAAAGTGAATATTTCAACATTTATGGGCAAACATAAGCATAAGGGAAAAAAGTGCTTTTAGCAAAGTTCATTAATTCCTCTCGTTTAATTTCCTCTGAGAACATCAATTCCATTTTTCTTCCCATCGTTACTTTAACCCATGCAATTTGGTGTCTTGACTGCAAAAGATGCCACAGCTTCTTGAAAATTATGCTTTCATAATTACCAATTGCTATAAAACATTTACTTAGCAAAATTGAATGGTTCTAATCTTTTACAGATAATAAAGTGGATTTTATTCCATTCCCATCTTTAAATCTTGAATCAAAACCAGTTCCTTGTCTTATCCCCCTGAATTTTTCTGTAATCCTCTCCCCAAACACATAACCAGTAGACCACTGATACTGCTGGTTCCCGAAAGCCCTAGGGTCTAGTGATATTCTTTCTATCCCAGTTCTTAATTAGTTTGTAAATTATTCATTGACTTAATTGGTCTAAATTACCAATGTTTCCAAGCCTTTAGCTACATAGATTTTAAGGTAGCAACAAAACCTACAAGACTAAAAACAATAACTATATTAAAACTACAGTGTTAACACAACAGAAGGGTACGGACATCCCCAAAAAACATTAAATGTGCACACCTCTAATGTTTTGTCAAATATGAATAGCTGGAAATAATGATATTGAGAGAGATTAAAAGAGATAAAAAGTATTGGAAGCAATAGCATTTGTTGCATTTTTAATGCCTCTCACTATGTCTACTAGCAGAGCAAACATAGAACAGCTGTAAATATTTCAGTATACTTCAGTGAAGATTGCTACATAAAGAAGGAGCTACTGTATACTAAAATTGTGTTGAAAAACAATTAAGAGGTTAATTGATCACTCAGGTTGCAACAAAACCTGAAGACTCAAGGCCTGCAGAAAATGAGTGTGCAATCCCTGCTATAGTCCAATCTGTGGTTCTTTTAGTCACTCAACTTTCTTTGTGGTTTTAAGAGCACCTACAGGCAGGGATCAGACTTTTTATACAGTATGAAATTATCTTCTTATATCCCTTAGAACACATGCAATCAATCAAAATTCCAACAGAAGGAAAATCAACATCTTAAATGACCGGATTTTACTACTGTAGTGCCTGAAACACTTTCCCCACATCTTTCTCTTTCGTGTCTTATTAAGCCCCATTCCTCCAGTATTGGTAACTTGTCAAGGCTATATTACATCCAAAAGCATGGAAGTCCTTGCATGAAGGTAATTAATTTACAGCAGTGCTATATTACAATCCCAATATATTTTTAGTAAAAAAGGATCACTTTAGTAGAGGTCCACTGCCAAGGAAACCTCTTGAATGCACAGTATTTTGCATGTCTGCTGCCTCATGTTACAGCCCTATGATTTCAAGCCAGATTCTACAAATTCACTTTTCCGCAGTGTGTCAACACTTTTCTGTGTCTCCCTGTCCATGTTAAAGATTGTGGTCTCCATGTTTAGTCTTTTCTCCGGTTGTTTGTTCCCTTTTTAAATCTCAGCAGTGCAGCAAATTGGTAAGGGTTCTGGACACCTGACTGGAAGGCTGCAGGCTCACATCCTTGGTAGGAAACTGCAGCAGGATTGTTGAATAACATATGTTCTCCATATTGCTCCAGTAAAAATCCAATTGAATGCATGGATACGAAAATGTGCATGTAAAAATAAGCAAATGTAACACCTCTGAGTCACTTTGTATAAAAGATTTAAGGAAATAAATTGATAAATAAGTAATAATCTTCATCCACTAGGCCACTTCTTTCACTCTGTAACTCTATCTTTCATGAAACTACCCTACAGTATTGGAACTCAAATTCATATTCAAAAATACTCATTGTCATTAGAAAATTACAAGTAGCAG